AATCTCCCTTATTCTGCATGATTTTTATAGGAATATCGTTAATTTTTCAATAGATCTAACATGTTTCTGTTTGTAACATACTCTAATAAGTCAAATTATCCAAATTATCCAATTATCCCCTTTCTAGAGCCTTCTGTCCTTCTGGTTCAATCTGGACTATTTCTATCCACCAATCTTTAATTTTTTAGCATTTCTAGTTTATCTATGATATGCTGAAATTTCATGATGATGTGTGGATTCTTTTATTTCTTATGCTTTTATACTTAAGACTGTGGATATTTCTGTTTTATTTTCTTTGATGATTTATAAGCTCTGAAAGGACAGATTTTTAATTTTTTTTAAATGCTATGAAAGAGAAGAAAGAACAGTCCCCAGCAGGTCCTGGTCATGGTTTAATCATTTTTCTTCCTTTTGCCCCTTTCTGTCAAGACTCTGTGCCTAGGATGTTTTTCAACCTGCCAGGGCTAGAATTTGAACTAAAGTTTGCCATGTAGAACCTGGGCCCCTTTGCACAGTTCTTAACCACTGTGCTATAGGACTGCTATAGACCAAGACAGAGATTTTTATGTTTATTTATTTATTTTTGTGTTCCTAGTGTCTGATCCATAATACGCACTTATTATTTGTAAAATGAATTAATATCTGCATTTAAAATAATAAAAATAATGCCAGGTAGCCCACCAGCCCAAACAGGAAATAGAATATTATCAGCACCTTAGTGTCCCCTTTGTTTTTTTATAATCTACTTCCTGTCTGCCTCTTTCTAGAAATTTTACTACTCTGCCTTTTCTATCAACCATATGTTTAGTTTTTTTACACTTGTGTTGTTTACGTTTATGTTCCTAAACATATTGTTTAGTTTTGAAAAAATTGTAAAGCAAGTACAAACCTAATTTATATGAGAAAAGAGTAGTATTACTCCTGTTAGATAAAGTCTCTTAGGAAAATAGGTTCTGGGTTAAAACTGACTGCAGTTTCTCTGAGAATTTTCAAACCATTTTGCGGATAATTAGTGAATGAGATTATGATGTTTAGTGTTACTCATGAAAGTCCATTGTCTAATTTGATTTTTTTCTATTGTAGATAACTTTTTCTTCCTTTATTTCAGTTTTATGGAGATATAATTGATGAAGACAAGTTGTATATATTTGATCCAGCAGATGGTGTGGAGGCAGATGGCATGGTGGTTAAGGTGCTGTATCCCACAGTTCCAGTCCTGCCCCTGGCAGCAGGAAAAACACACTGGGCATGTGTGCATGTATGCCCAAAATTCTGAGAGGAAAATGGAGGAAAAGAGTTTGTGACATGGCCATTCCCCTTGGGGAGTGATTTCTCTCTTTTCCCTCTCTAAGTGTATTTCTTTATCTCCAGCAGACTTTACCCAACATGAAATACTTCTCAGTCCAGTGCAATATTTCCATATACATATATTGTAAAATGATTTCTGCAATCAAGCTAATTAATGTATTTATAAACTCACATAGTCAACTTTTTTATATCTACTTTTTAAAAAGACTTGCTATCCTAGTGAATTTCAAATATGCAACACATTGTTAATAACTATAGTCACTGTATTGTACATTAGGTTTCAAAAACGTCCTCATCTTATAATTGCAAGTTTGTACCCTTTGCCCAACATTTCCCCATTTCCTCTACCTGCTTATCATCTACTCTCTGTTTCTAGAAGTTCAACTTTTTTAGATTCCACATGTAAGTGAGTTTATGCACTATTTGTCTTTCTGTGTGTGGCTTATTTCACTTAGCATAATGCTCTCTAAACTCATTTGTGTTGTCACAAATGTTAAAACTTTCTTCTTTTTTTTTTTCTGAGACTGATTTTTTGCTATAAGGCATGTGTGTTTACTGGAGAGAGAGACCGAACAAAAGAAATAACTTTCCAGAGAGGATGGCCACACTGTAATCCCTTCTCCTCCATTCTCTTCTTGAGATTTTGGGCATGCACACACACACACCTGCATCCAGCATGAATTTCAAGCCACTGTGTCTGGGACTTCAACCCAGTCTACCATATGTGAGTCCAGAGATGTAAACATTATGCCATCTGCTGGTTCCAGATTTTCTTCTTTTTTAAGGCCAAATAATATTCCATTGTGTGTGTGTGTGTGTGTGTGTGTGTGTGTGTGTTTTTTTGGGTGTGTGTGTGTTTGTGTGTGTGCATGCACATGTGTGTGTGTGTACTACAATTTCTTTATCCATTCATCTGTTGATGGGCATTTAAATTGTTTCTATAGCTTGGCTATTGTGAATAATGCTGCAGTGAACAGGGTAATTCAACTATCTCTTCAAGTAGGTGATTTAATTTCTTTTGAATATACACTCAAAAATGCAATTAGTGGATCATATAGTAGTTCTATTTTTTATTTGTTGAGAAACTCTCCATAGTGTTTCCCCCAATGACTGTATCACTTTATTTTATCAATAACAATGTATAAACGTTCCCTTTTCTTCACATTCTTACTAATACTTTTTGTCTTTTGACTTTTTATTATATTTTATTTGTTAAAGTTTAAGTTTTTTTGCCCATGTACTCACCAAGGAGAGAGAGAGAGTGAGCAAAAAAGTGAGAAATTACCCCACAGGGATAATGGCCAGGCCATAATCCCTTCTCCATTCTCTTCTTAGAATTTTGGACATGCATACACATGTGCCCAGGGTGATTTACAAGCCAACAGATCTGGGCCTGAACCACAGCCAGCCATGTGGGAGTTCAGTGCCTTAGTCACTACACTATCTACTGGCCCCAACTTTCTATTGTTTCTTAAATTTGCCAGAAAGTGCATGCATTTACCAGAGAGAGACAGAAAAGCGAAAAAGCACTCCACATAGGAAGTGGTCATGTTGTAATCCCTTCTCTTCCATTTTTCCCTCTTTTCAGGATTTTTGGCATGCATGCACAAGTGCCTGGCATGTTTCTTAAACCACCAGGTCTGAGACTTGAAACAGGTAGTAGGCTATGTGAGATCCAGGCACCTTAACCACTACACCACCCACCTTTTGAATTTCTGATAGCAACCATCATAACAGATGTGAGATGATATCTCATTGTGATTCTAATTTGAAGTAAATACTTCATGATTAGGAATGGTAAATGCCTTTTTATATACATATTGGCCATTTGTATATGATTCTTATGAAAAATGGCTACTAAGGTCTTTTGTCCACTTATTGTCCTTTACCTATTTTTATTGGATTATTATTATTATTACTATTGAGTTTTATGGTCCCTTATATATTTTGTGCCTTAACCCTTTATCAAATGCATACTTTGTATATATTTTCTACTAATCTATAAGATGTCTTTAATTTTGTTGAATGTTTTATTTGCTATGCAGTAATTTAGTGTGACATAATCCCACTTATTTATTTTTGCTTTTATAGGCTGTGATTTTGGAGTCATACACAAAAAATCATTGCTAAATCTAATGTCAATGAGCATCTCCCTTTTAAAAATTATTTATTTAATTTTATGTATTATTATGTTTTTAAATTTTCTATAGGACACACATGCTCACAAGAGAGAAAGAAAGAAAAAGTGAGAAAGCAAGCCACCAAATCTGGGACTCAAACCGCAGTCAATCATGTGAGAGTCCAGTGCCTTAACCACCACACTACCTGATGGCCCCAACCCTTATATTTTATACTAGGAGTTTTAGAGTTTGAGGTCTTAAACTTAATCTCTAATCTATTTTGTTGATTATTGTATGGTATAAAATAAGGATCCAAATTCATTCTTTTGCATATGAACATCTAGTTTTCCCAACATTATTTATGGACAAGATTGCACTTTCCCCACTTTGTATTCTTAGTATTTTTGTAGGAAGGTAGTCAACTTTGTTTGTGTGGGTTTATATCTGGGCTCTCTATTCTGTTCCATTGCTCTTTGTGTCTGTTTTTATGCTAATACAATACTGTTTTAATGGCTGTTGCTTTGATATAATTTGTAAGTGTGACACCTCTAACTTTGAGGTCTTTTGTGTTTTAATATGAATTTTAGGATTGCTTTTTCTGTTTTTGTGAAATAGCTACTGTTTTTTTTATAAGGAATGCATTGAATCTATTGATTGCCGGAAGACCTGCTCCAGCCATGGTGGGTTGAGACTCATACACAGGAAGGCGACACAGGCAGAAATTCAGGCTGAAATCTCAATGCCCTTTAGCATGTTCTCAGCCAACTACAGTCAAAGCAAGCTCAAGACTGCAGCCCCAGTGGCTATCAAACATACATATTTATTGAGGGATGTTTTACAGAAGTAGGAGGGGTGAGGGGGAAATAAAAGATTTACTCTAAGAAACAAGGTATTCAAAGTACAGGAACAATGACCATAAAACATGATGTCTGTCTTGTTTAATTAGGTATAATCAATTACAGTTCTCAGGATAAAGGAGTCCATTTGTCTGGTGCATTTTCTTCTTAAATCTTGATTACCTGACAGGGCCTTTTCAGATGAGATGGTCTTGTAGCTCAGGAGACAACTCAGGATACATTATTAGCAGTTTTTTATACTTAACAGCACATGGAAGAAACTGTTTGTAGTTAGGGACTATCTGTTACTTGCCCAAACTAGATAAGAACTTCCAGCTAAGATAGTTAATCTTCCCCCTGGAGCCTTCATGTTTGTTTATTCTGTCGTTGTTAGCCAGATCTGTCCTTCCTCTATTAACCCACAGGTCCCTGTATTTTATTTGCTGAATTCTTTGTCTGTTAATCAGTGAATTCTTGTGCTTTATCTTTGGGTTCCCATCATGGCTGTGAATATGCTAACTTGGCCTAACATAAGTTAACTTTGGCCTGCAGCTTTAACAAGGGGTACTTATGTAAAATTAGCCTTAAACTAACTTAGTCTACATATGCTACTAACACTAATTTGGCTTATACTAACTTAACCTAACATATGCTAATTTTGGCTTAAAACATGCAGGTGGGGAGTCTCAAATCTCCTGATTCTCCTGCAGTCTGCGGCTCTGTGGTTGCCTCGGTGATGTCCTGGGTTCAAGCAGCACAGTTGGTCCGGGGCCCTGGTGATGAGGCAGACGTGTTTGACGAGGAAGCGGACAAGTCTCTTGTGGTGCAGCGAGAATGGTGGAGTCACATGCAAAGACAAGTCAAAGAAGGTTATAGAGATGGAATAGACGCTGGCAAAGCAGTTGCTCTTCAGCAGGGCTTCAATCAAGGTTATAAAGAAGGTGCAGAAGTCATTATCAACTACAGACAACTCAGGGGAACATTGAGTGCTTTGCTCTCCTGGCGTCACCTTCATAGTAATAGTTCAACTTTAATCACTAAAATAAATCATCTTCTGGATGCAGTTGGCCAGTGTGAAGAGTATGTGCTCAAACATCTGAAATCAATCACTCCACAACCCCATGTTGTAGATTTATTGGACTCCATTGAGAATATGGACCTTTGTCATGTAGTTCAAGCTGATAAAAAGACCAATGAAGCTGAAGATGAAAGACTCTGTGAAAACAATGCTGAATATAACAAAAACTGTAGCAAGAGTCCTGTTGGGCTAGAGTGTTCATATGTAGGATGTGGCAGAACAGAGGAGCGTGCACATGCCAAAAACCCAGGCCTCACCTGGATTTTAGAACAGACAGCCAATTTAGTTAAACAGCTAGGAGTGTCTGTAGACATATTACAACACCTCAAACAGCTATAGAAGCTATCTTTCTTTTTCTAATGGTATTCAGAATGCTGCTTAGAGCATACTTTTCTGACAAGGTGACCAAAACCTATACAAGTTTCTGTGTTGAATACTTCGCCTGTAGTGTTATTCTTTATGGAAATTTGAATGTTTTCAAACTTAACACTATTAAATATAAGCCCCTTTTCTCTGCCACGGCTAATATTTGTATAGTATATTTTTAAGATATGCTCAGGAATTCCAGTTGTTATTATTTTCAAGCTGCTGTCCATATCTGATCATTAGCAAAAGTGAACAAGGATCCAACATGCTTTATAATAACTCTACTTTCTCCTGCTGTCACCTCAGGTAGTTATCCTGATCTCCAGTTAATCAGACCAGAATTACCAATGGCAGACATGAATATAGGGAGATATACAGGCATAGATATGTATCTAGATATGAAGATACACATTGAAATTAAGAAATTGCATGTGTGAGAAACTGAAGCAATGTTTATACTGTGATTAAATTATTAAAAACAAAATAAAAAAATGTAAAAAAAAAAAAAGGAAACTGCATTCCTACCAGATCACTAATTGGCTTTCTTGTAAAGTTGCAGTAAGGCTGGGTGTGTTATTTTACCCTTGCAGGGTACTGTAATAACAGTAAAGCTCATGGCAGAGAAATTGAGTGCAGACCAGTACAGCAACACAGTGGAGAGTTGGGACTCATAAACTGCTGACCTTGTTCACAGTTTCTTCCCAGCCCGTTGAGGGTTTAGGGGCAGCCCCTTTATCAGCCTGTGTTGTCTGCATGGTCCCGACAATAAATCACTCAAACTATTGTGGACATTTTAATAATATTATTCTTACAATCTATAAACATGGAATGTCTTATAATTTATTTGTGTCTTCTTTGGTTTTCTTTATTATTGTTTTAGAGTTCTCAATATACAGATATTTCAATTCTTTGGTTAAATGTATTCCTAAATATTTTATTATTTTTGATGCTGTATTAAATACAATTATTTTCTTAATTGCCTTTTCAGATGTTTGTTGTTAGTGGGTAGAAATGTTACAGATTTAGTCCAACCAGTGACATAGTCATTAAGGTGGCTGGATCTCACATGCCCAACTATGCAATTCGAGTATTGGATCAGGCAGCTTGAAAAATCTGCTGGGTGTATGCATGTGTGTGTCCCCAAAATCTGAAGTGGGGGATGGAGGAGAAGGGATTGTAGTGTGGCAATCCCTGCTGGGGAAATGATTTCTGACTTTCCCTCTTTATCTCTTTCTCTCTCCAGTGAGTGTGCACACCCTATAGGAAAACTAAACAACAACAAAAAAATAGTTACAGATTTTCCTCTGTTAATAGCATACTCCTCAACTTTACTCGATTTATTAGTTCTTATGGTATTTTTGTGGAACCCTTAGAATTTTCTATACATGAATGGACTTAGAAAAGATTGTGGAAAATGGAACTCAAGTATGAGTTTATTTTGTTGGTATAGAATTTTGTAATATATGCAGTTTCTTTATAATATGAATTTCCTATGAACATTTTTTTGTTTTATTTTTTTAATTATTTTTTTTTCATTTCATTTTCTTCCATACATTCAATCACATTATAATGTGTCTTACAAAATGGATATTTCAACAGGTGAACATTTCTCTTGATAAAACTACAAAATATCTTCAACAGATAATACCACACCTCTTTGTGCCATTAATGCTGTGCCTCCCTGTCCCTCCTCCAAATGTCCTTCCTCAGTCGCTCCTCTTTCACATACACTACATCTGGTATTTACATCTATATACTGCCTTTCCATATCCTTTAGAAAATTGGTTTCAGTCATGGAGTGCAGACACTCGGTATATATTAAGTGGGGACATACAGTGCCTCTCCTTCAAAGCATGGCTTGCTTCACTCAGCAGTAAGTCTTCCACTTCCTGTCAAACATCAGGGTTTTGTTGGGTTTTTTTATGGCTGAATAGTATTCCATTGAGTATACATGCCACAGTTTTTCTAACCATTCATCAGTTCGTGGGCATTTGTGTTGTTTCCATGACTTAGTAATCATGAAAAGTGGAACAATAAACATTGATGTGCAAGCACTTTTCTGATTATTCTTCTGCCCTTCAGGTAGATAGAAAGGAGTAGGATTGCTGGGTCATACAGTAGACCTATTTGTAGATTTTTTAGGAATCTCCAAATTGTTCTCCACAGTGGTTGAACCAATTTACATTCCCACCAGCAGGGTAAGAGAGTTCCCTTTTCACCACAACCCCACCAGCACGTACCATTTTTTTTTTTGTTTAAATCTTAGTCATTCTGGGGAACCAGCAGTTAGCGTAATGGCTATGTCACTGGACTCCCACGTAGTCGACCACGGCTCACGTCCCGGACCCGGTGGCTTAAAACTCACGCCGAGCGCGTGTGCATGCGTGCCCAAGATCCCAAGAGGAGAAGGGAGGAGAAGGGA